CCAGAGATAACCCACATTTACCCACCAACCACATTTGCACACCAGAGATAAACCACATTTACACACCAACCACATTTACATGCCACATAGAGGTAAGCCACGTTTACACACCAACCACATTTACATGCCACATAGAGATAAGCCACGTTTACACACCAACCACTTTTGCACGCGACATAGAGATAAGCCACGTTTACACACCAACCACATTTGCATACCACATAGATAAACCACATTTACACACCAACCACATTTGCACACCAGAGATAAACCACATTTACACACCAACCACATTTACATGCCACATAGAGATAAGCCACATTTACACACCAACCACATTTGCACACCACATAGAGATAAGCCACGTTTACACACCAACCACATTTATATGCCACATAGAGATAAGCCACATTTACACACCAACCACATTTGCACACCAGAGATAAACCACATCTACACACCAACCACATTTACATGCCACAGAGATAAGCCACGTTTACACACCAACCACTTTTGCACGCGACATAGAGATAAACCACATTTACACACCACACACATTTACATACCACATAGAGATAAGCCACATTTACACACCAACCACATTTGCACACCACATAGAGATAAGCCACGTTTACACACCAACCACATTTATATGCCACATAGAGATAAGCCACATTTACACACCAACCACATTTGCACACCACATAGAGATAAGCCACATTTACACACCAACCACATTTACATGCCACATAGAGATAAGCCACGTTTACACACCAACCACTTTTGCACGCGACATAGAGATAAACCACATTTACACACCACACACATTTACATACCACATAGAGATAAGCCACATTTACACACCAACCACATTTGCACACCACATAGAGATAAGCCACGTTTACACACCAACCACATTTGCCCGCCAGAGATAAGCCACATTTACACACCAACCACATTTACACGCCACATAGAGATAAACCACATTTACACACCAACCACATTTATACCCCATCTAGAGATAAACCACATTTACACACCATTCAAAAGAGGCCATGAAAAAGCTCAGAAGGAAACCAAAAGACCGGAACACCCGCTCTCCAGCAGCCAACACCCAGATAAGCAGGGATTGACACCAGACAAACAGTCAAGCAGAAAACAACACCCTAATCAAGGGACTACCAAGGAGAAAACCTCTCCCCACCCACATGGGCAGGGCAAGGTACTCTATATAAACAGGGAGCAAACCCCACACTCCCTTCCAGCACTGATGATGTTACCTAGCTGGGTAACGAAACGTCTGCAAGCAAACAACCAACCAGAAAACACCAAGGACTCCAAACTCTTCTTTCTCAGCCTCAGCACTATCTCTCCACTGAGGGTCACGATCCGCTGCTCCCAAGCCACCCACCTTCTCACTCCATAGGACCTGGTTGTTGTGGCCCTCCGAGAACAAGAAATCTTGGAGGAGGTGAAGCAGTTTCAATGCGTTCTGGGTGAGGCTCGGCAACAAGGCTGGCGTGGCCTCCTTCAGGTCCGTCAAGGCCGATTCCATCATCATCTCCAGAAGACTGGGGGTGAAATGAGGGGTGGGAGACGGGGGCAGGACACTTCAATTGACAGTGAGGAAAGGGACAGGCTGCAGATAGCTGGAGGACAGGAATCGGCTGAAAGGCAGCTTCCCGTTCTGTTGATGGGCCTTGTGTTCATGTGTTAAAAGGAAGCCATAAATCACACACACAGCCGGTTCCATATCCCAGCTAGAGCCTCAGAAATGAACTCTTGGCCATCTCCATCTACTTCTTCATCCCACAAGATCATTGCTCCCTTTCCCTCAAATCCCACCCTTATCTCTGGTCTAAAGCCCTCTCCTTCTTCAAAGCCCATTCCTTCAGCAGAGGGATGGGCAACCATTTTGGGAGGGGGCAGGACTGCACTACTTTTAAAAATAGGGTTTGGCTTCCAAGAGCCCCAGGGAAATGAACCATAGAGGGGATGGGGCCAAAGTTTCCAGTGGGGAGGGTTGAGAGTTGGGCCTTAAGGAGCAATATGGGGGCCTGAAGCTTGTGTTTTTCTGGCTCTGCCAAGAGAAAGCCTTTTGGCCTCCCCACTGTGGATGTGTTTGTGGGGTCTGCAAAAGGGGCATGAAGAGGAACACATGGGACCCACAAGCTTTCTACTCTTGCTTTGATAAGATTTGATACTCTTGCTTTTGATAAGCAAGGCTGGCTGGGGAATTCTGGGAGTTGAAGTCCACACAACTTAAAGTGGCCAAGGTTGAGAAACACTGCTTTAGAGGCTCCAACCTTGTTCCTTCTGAAGTCCTTCTCGCATTGTAGATACAATCCACTGAACTGTACTCTGCTGAAGATCTGAACAGCACTGAAGTTCTCAGAAGCAATTTTCCCCATAGCCCCAGGAATCCCACTGGCCAGCACATAGGATGGTGGATCAAGCCAGAGTTTATCTGAGCAAGACCCTGGTTGCTTCCACTGGTAACCCTCAACAGCGTCTGCTTCTCTTACCTGCGTTTGATCTCATCAGGTGGGCGGACCAGCTCACAGGCTGAGCCCAGCTTGGTGAGGACGGAGAAGACCTGTCCTCGCTCTTTCCAAGCCACGTCGTCCCAGCCCTCCACTCCCCGCCAGGTGACCGAGAAGATGATGTTGGTCAGCAAATTGCAGAGCTCTTCCTCAGGAGTTTGCTATGGAGTGGGAAGGCAGCAAGATGAAGGTGGTGCAATGCTTTGGGTTGGAGACCCCAAAGGTGCTTCAGGGCAGGTCAGGACGCAATTGTTGCACCTGTCTGAAACTGCCTCATCCTGAAAAAGATGCCCCTTTGCCACACAGCTGCAAAGATATCACAGCCCTAACTTGCCTTCATTCTTCTCCGTTCCAGAACTGCTCCTTTCTCAGTTCTCCCTGTTGTCATGTTCTATCAAGTTTCTAGGGCCTGCAACTATCTTGCTTTGCTTAGATGATCCTGATACTCCTAGTGTACTCCACTGGTGATGCAGTATGTATTAAATAATTTTGCTCTCTCGTTTATCGCAGGCGACACTCTCATAAGCAAGAGACCAAAAGTTGTCTGACGTCTTGATTCTAAAACTTTACTAGGTTACTTGACTCAAGTGAAGCATGTCTTATGATTCTGGACTGTTTGGCGACATCAGTCTTTGTTTCCAGAAAGAAGGGTTGAAGAAACTCACCTGAGGGTTACTTGTGTTGGAGATGCTGTCGCTAGGCAGAGTTTCTTGATAGCTTGTCTCATCCAGCACGTTGGAGAGACTAGAACTCTTCCGAGCCCTCGTCCCCGGGAATGGCTTGAAATTCTCCAAAGGTGATGGAGTTCCTGGAAGGCTGAGGGGTGTCTGGTTGCCACTTTCCAAGGTGGCTGCAGAGCTCGTGCTGCCCAAATCCAAGCCAAGATCAAAGGGTGACGTGGAGAAAGGGGAGAGTGGGTGGTAGACGCGGTCAGCTGGGAGTGTGCCTCCTGCGTGGGCCTCTCCCTGACCAGGAAGGTCCATGGTATTGGAGGAGGAAGAATGGCTGGCAAGATCTAAGGAGTCAAAGGATTTGAAGACATAAGACTGGAAGACTCTGCTCCTCTGGTTGGTGGGAGACATGGACAGGTCCGAGAAACCTTCTGAGAGTTCATGGTCAGAGGCTTCGTAGCCCAGGGGGAGGAACACATCCAGGTCCTGCAGGTCAGTGGCCAAGGGACTTGTGGACCCCACCAGCTCTTTCCCTTTTTCCACGCTTGACTGCTCTGAGAGCTTCAAGAAATCCACACCATTGGTGCCACTGCCTGAGTTCGACAGGCTGTGTTGGCGAGACTCATAGGACTCTTTGACGTAGAGCTTGGTAAGGGTGTCCTGCCAGCCTGCCAGCTTGGCCAGCTGCTTCACCATGTCGTGCTGGGAATAAATCAGGTGGAAGAGCTGGACAGAGAGAGAAACAGAAACAGATCACTGATCTGATCTGCCCACAAATCACATGTTGCATGTGGTCCTGCAACACCTTTATTGCAAACCTAGAACAGGTCCAACGTTTTAAGAGGGAAAAGAGAAGCCATCAATCTTGCAGTTGGTGAGCTTTGGTTCTCCTCATTTAGTACTGTTGACCCTCACCAGGAACAGATCTCCAAAATTTCAGACAGGGATTTATTTGTCTAGCTCTAGTAGAAAAACTAATCTGGGACCTTCTGCATGTTCTGTTACTAGGTGATTCCCCCACCCTCCTGGAAATGTCTTATACAGTAACACTCACTTCTCCAGACTAGCTGCCTCCAGATGCAGCAGTGCTGGTTGGGAATAATGGGCCAACACATCTGGAGTGACCAAGTTAGATATGGCCAAACTAAGACACCTTGGACAGCAGGGTGGGGAAAAGTATCCTCTGCCTGAGGCCCTAGCCTAGCCCACTCTCCCACCCCATCTGGCCCCTTTCAAATATTGCTACCAGACCTGGGGGCTCCAAGCATTCCCAGCCAGTCCTTAGCTGCCCAATTGGAGAAGACTTTCTTGGAGAGACCGCAAGTCAGATTAGATGATCCTGGGGTGGGAGCTAGATTTCAAAAGCTCAGCCTAGTATCAAAACTAGTCAATCTCTAAAATGAGGTGGAAACTGTCCTTCCTACCCAAAGAGAGTGGCTTGAAGCTGGTTATTCCACACAGGTGGAAGAAAAAGGCCAAGAATGTAAACCTTGGTTTCACTATAAGGGCTTGCATTTGAGACATACAGTCAGGTCCAGAAATATTGGGACATCGACACAATTCTAACATCTTTGGCTCT